TATGCATTGATAGCAGCAACAGCTTTTCCAGGTTCTGCAGTCATCTGAACAAAATTATAGACATTCAGCACATTCCATTAAAAAAAAAAACCAAAAAAACAAAGTAAAGAATAATATCCAGACAATAGCAAATTTCTGTTGCTGTTGTGGTACCTGGCACCATTTTTTCTATTAGCCTCATAATCATCTGGAAAGAGAACATTCTAGAGTAATATCATTAAATGTAGCTCTGATAAAGCACGGTCCCTACTATGTATCATAAAGCAGGTTCTAGATATTTTACATTCATTGAGGTATGATACAGTACTGTCCTACATCAATAGCACTAGATTCAGTTTTGGTTTGAAATTTACTTTGTCTGCAAATAAGATTGCTACCCCTGTTTTTTTCTGGGCTCCTGTCACATGGAGAATTGTTTTCTATCTTTTCACTTTCAGGCTATGGGCTTCTTTTTGCACTAGGTGTGTTTCTTGTATACAACATATTATTGGATTTTGCTTCTTATTCCATTTTGCCAGTCTATTTCTCTTGATTGGTGAGTTGAGGCCACTGACATTGCTGGTTATAACGGATATGTACTGACTTATTATTGACATGTTATTGGCTTTTTGTTGACTCTTTTTTACTTTTTCACCTTCTCCTTTTAATTTCTTGCCTTGCCTATTTGATTTGCTCTGTTGGGCCTCATGGTGTTGTTGCCTTCATTGTCTTTTTCTAGGATCTTGTTTAGAATTGCTTGTAGTGCTGGTTTGGTATTCATGTAGTTTCTCAGGTATCTTTTACTGCTTGTGGTATTTTGTTCTTCTGCTGGGTTTTTTTGGATCCTGATTATTATATGTGTAGGCGTAGATATTTTTTTAATCATGGCTAGTTGGAATCCTACATGCCTCAGTTATCTGTATATCAAATTTTTCCACTCTCTTTGGGAAGTTTTCTGTCATTAATTCTGCAAACAGCTTTTTAAAGTCATTTGTATTTTCTCCTGTTACTTCATGGATTCCTATCAGTCTTATGTTATTCTTCTTTGCATCATCTAGGAGTTGTTGGATCGATTTCTCATGATCTCTTACTGTTTTTAAGAGACCTCTCTTTTCATGGTCACTGACTGCACTCTTATCTTCTATATCTGAGAACCTATCTTCCGATTCTTTTATTCTGTTGCCTACACTTTTAATGGAGTATTTAATCTCCTGGATCTCTGTTTGAATCTGTTTTATGGATTCCATTTCTTTCCTATGTTGGG